GGCTGTCAAAACTCCACACCATTAGAGGTGCGGATCCAAATATGACTTGGCTTCTTCTGCTGCTGACTTGCTCCTAGAAATGTCTGGCCTTCTGGATCAGAACAACATAACCAGACCGGAAAGCCCACACAATGGATTGGGGGTCTTGGTCCATCCCGCTCGGTGTCAGGAAGCTTTTCATGGACATGACTGGATTCATAACATGTATGTAAATTTCACTTAATGCTGAGCTCTTAAAAAAATGCCTAAGAGACCTTGTCGATCCTCTTGAAAAGAAACAGCTATAAAATGGTATGTATAATATGATGGCCCTTTTGGTAAAGTGTTTATATGTGTTTTTTAAAGTCTAGAAAAGGGATACATTAAAAATGTTTTCTCCAAATAATAAAATGATGTTTTCCACTTTATACTTTTAAGAAAGGTACTTAATATATTCAAATTTCATAATAACAAAAATAAACTGGGTCAATTCCATTTTGAAAAAAAAAGTTCTTACCCCCAACTCAAATGCATATTCAGAATTTTTTAAATATGCAGCCAAGAGTACATATTCGAACCTGCTACTCTGCAAGAAAACTTAAAAATAATCATCCTTTAATGGTGGAAAAGCAGGCCAAATGTCTGCTGCTTCAGTAGGCGGGGCCCAGTCCCAAATTCCAGGTCACAGGGCAGTTTGCCAGGGCTGTGGGCTCATGGTGCTTCTGCCCCCTGCTGGAAATATCAGGGAAGTGCTGGCTCTGGCTCCTCAAAAATTCTCCAGGGAGATGACCCTGGCAGAAAAGTGCTTATGAACCCAGTGACTCTTGGAAAAAGTGGACTTATTGCTCAACATTTCTGGAAGGTCTTGCTACAGGGAAACTAGTCATGCTTCCAAACCCCTCTTTCAACACATATATTTATTTTTGAAATGTCCCAGACTTCATTTTAAGTATTTACATATGTGTAGAACAAACAAGTAAAAACAGATTTGTTTTTGTGCCATCCCACATTTTCTAGTATAAATTATATTGTTTTATACTTTTATTCTTTGGCCTGCTTTTGTCACCAACAATATGTCCTGGCAGGGTCAGGACTAGGGTGAGGCAAGGTAGCCCTGCCCAACCCTGAAATTTTTGCGTCTGTTGATAGCACATACAGGTTGGATTCACTCTTTTTTCTCTTAATGCTCTTTATATTCTCTCTTTTTAAAGATTATTTACTTATTAGACAGAGAGGAAGGGAGGGAGAAAGAGAGGGGGAGAAACAGCAATGTGTGGTTGCCTGTTACACACCCCCCACTAGGGACCTGGCCTGCAACCCAGGCACTTACCCTGACTGGGAATCAAACCAGGGACCCTTTGGTTCACAGGCCGGCACTCAGTCCACTGAGCCACACCAGCCAGGCCTAAATTCATTCTTTTAACCCTGCATAGTATTCTATGGTATCAATAGGCCACAGTTAACCATTTCCTTCTGGGTACATTTTTAGGTTATTTCCAGATTTTAGCTATTACTAAAATGTTGTGTTGAGATCTTATAAATGCCTCTTTGTGCATGTAAGTCAAAGTCACAGTTTTTAACTTTGTGGTTTGTATGCTTTTTACCTTGTTTACAAAGCTTTTCCTACACTAAGGTTACAATAGTGACTTCCTATATTTTCTCCTCCTTTCTTTCTTTTTTTTAAATTGTGGACCTCAGGTGCAGAGTTGAGTTCATCATACTCCTTGGCTCCTCAGTTCATCCTCCACACAGCCATCATTGGTCCATATAAGACACATAAAAATTGTCCTTCACCCCCATTTTCTACTCCTATTCTCCCTGTCCACCAGACAATCTTTCTGATTGATAGGTATAATAGCATTGGTATGTTTTCTTATAAAATACACTTATGTCAATATTCCAAGCATATATATGGAATATTTATGTAAATGATATTGTGTCCTAGACCTCATTCTATTTCTTACTGTTCCCATTCAACGCTGTTTTACAAGCTGTCCGCATGGCTGGTGCACTCATCCCTTCCCCGAGTAGGGGTCCCCGGAGCCTTCAACTCCCATTACCACAAGTAACCCTGCAATGAGCAACCTCGTGCACGGTCTGCGTGTGTGAGAAGTTATCCAGGCTTTATTCCCAGATTGCTAACATTTTCTTCTAGCACTTTTATAGTTTGTTTTTTCTTCTACTCATATGCCCATCCACATTTGATTAGTCTGTCTGAGCCACATTTAGCTTTGACTTTGATCTCAAGTTAGTTCTTATCACTTTCTTTTGGCAAAGAAAAAACTCTTAATTTCCATTTTGAATATTGTTTGAGCTAGAGGTTGGGAGGAGGTGGGTTTCTGTTTTGTTACGTTTGAATCTCAGCTCCTGGATTTATGCTACATGATAATAATATAATTTAGCTTTGGTCCTTCCCAAAGCAAAACTGAGACAAGGACTTTGGTGAAAGTAGTTTGTTTAGAAAGCTATCCCAGGAATACAATAAGGAGAAGGGAGGAGTGAAACACGGAAGAAGAGAAAGCCAATGAAAGATGCATTACTGAGCTGCTTAGCACTTCAGACAACTGGCACAGTCTCCCTGGAGACCCTTTGAAGCACCATATGAAAATCACCTAGAATTGTCCCTTGAAAGGATGGGAGGTTGACACATTACCTACAAGCCTTCATCCTCCATTGGCAGAGTTGCTCCCTGAGAGCGCGCGCGCGCACGCGCGCGCGCGCGCACACACACACACACACACACACATTCCTGTGGCTGTTCCTGCAAAATAGATTGAGCAAGCTTCTAAGCTCCAAGCCAGGAGAAAATCCTGAGATGGAAAAGCTGAGTGACTTCCTGGTGCTTGAGTTGGGAAGCCATCATATCAGCTTGCTTAGGAGCCGTTGACTCTCCGCTGCCCTGTGGGTACGCGTATGTCTTTTTCTGCTAACTGCTATCTATCTAGCTTCTTTCTCTGCACCTTGCTATTCTTGTGTTGATGACATCTGACCTCTCTGTCCTGACCCTGTGGGACCTGCTCAAACCTCTCCCCAGGCAGGATCTATTATTACAGCATTCCCTCTGCCTCCCTGGGCCCAGGCCCTCTGCTCACCCCTCTGTTCAATCACTTACCTCTGTAAATTCATTTTCCTCCTGCTTTGCACATGTGCCCCTTTTATTTCTTTCTCCAACTTCACTGTTGCTCCCCCACCTTTTCTCCCACCTACTCACCTTAAGCCTGAGGATAGCTTCAGCAAACCCTGGTCACGTGCTGACCAGAGTCTCACAGAAGTGTCCACACTCAGCTAAAAGAATAAGCAGAATGATACCAAACACTGAGCACCAACTAAGTAGCAGGCACTGTTGTTTATACTGCCAGGAGAACAACCTCATCAAGTAAACGCTATCATCATGCCAATTTCACAGAGGAGGAAAACAGGTGGAGAGGATGACTTAGCTGCCCCATGGAGCTGGGCCTCCAGCTTGGGTGTCTGGCCTGCAGGATTTCCTCTTGACCACTTCAGTAAGCTTAGCCACTAAGTGCTAGCTGACCCTCGGGAAAGGGATTTCCGGTTGTCCCTGGTTTTGCCCTTTCAAATGGCACAGTCTTTATGGTTCCTTTTTCTCATGAGATTATTGAAAGTATGAAGTCAGATTTTTAAAAAATAATAAATAAAACACCTTGGGTATTTTTTCATGTTTGTTTTGCACTGTTTGCTTTGTTTGGGTTTTGGGGTTTTTGTTTGTCTGTTTTTAGTTTTCCTGGTTCATGTGTTACCGCTACGGGATACTTTTTTCTCAGGACCAATCCTAACAGATTTCTCCCCCAGCTTCCAGATATCTGGGATTCTAGAATCAGAAATTAATTCATTTATGTTGGTTCAGCTATATGGGATCGGATGCGTAGTAGTACTTCTCAGCCTTTCCCACTTTAGCATGAGTGAATTCATGACCTTTCCTGAGAGCTGGATTTGAAAGAGGAGCCTGGGCAGAAGCACGAATGCACTAAGCCTAGATTAAAGAAAAGCCACACTAGGTCACTACCCTAGAAAAGCCCTTGCACATGAGCACCAGGATTTAAGTGCAAGAATGTCCTTGGCAGCATTGTGCATAATAGGCTCACACTGGAAATAACACTATCCATCCAGAGTAGAATGGAAAAATGAGTTGTAGCCCATGCATTCATACAATGGAGTACAATACAGCCATGAAAATGAGTGGCCACAACTAACTACAGCCATATACTTCAATCTCACAAACACAGTCTGAAGCAAAGAATGTTGACAACAAAGAAGGTGTTTGGTGGGAATCCATACTGGTAAAGTTCAAAGATAAAGGTGGTAAAATTATAAAGAATAAGAAGGAAATTAATATCATGAATGTCAGGACAATAGCAGTTGATTCTAATGGGCATGGAAGGGATTGTGATTACGCAGGGGACTTTTTGGGTACTGGTAATCACTATTTCTTTACTGGGTGTTGGTTCCACAGAGCGTTGCTTTTCGATGATTTGTTAAGCTGTCCAAATGTGTTCTATGTATTTTTATACATGTATGCTTTATTTCGGTCTTTTGAAAAACTAAAAGGAGGGAAGGAAGGAAGAGAGGGAGGCAGGAATGGACTGGATTGCCCACCTCTCAAACCAGATATCACTTCTTTGTACAGCTGATCCAGGACAGGTTCAGGAGACCTGGGAGACAAGTGGTCAGGTCTGCAACAGGTGACAAAGGACCCTGTGCAGAGCATCTGGGGATATTCAACTGCCAAACAGTCTTCCAAAGTCATCAACCCAATTTATTCCCTCACCAGCAGTGTATAAGAGTTCCCATTGCTTTGTGCTTCACTATCACTTAATATTGTCAAAATTTTAAATCTTTGCTTCTTTTGTAAGATGTGTAAAGGTATCTCATTATTGTTTTAAATTGCTTTATGCTAGTAATTAATGACATTAAGCATCCTTTTAATGTATTTTTTGTCTTTTGTAGGACATCTTTTCAAGTCTTTCACTCATTTTTTTCCTAATGGTTGTCTTTCTCATCACGTTACTTCGGTAGGCATTTATTTGGGATCTTAAGGCTTTGCTAGTTGAAAATATCTTTTCCCATTCCACAGCGTCTTGCCTCTCTTCTGTTCTAGATGGATGGCACAGAGGCAGCAAGGGTTTGCCGCTTCTGAACTCCTTTGTTTACCCCTTGGGTGCCTCAGGGAATTCGCTCAGCCTTGAAGGCTGCCTTTCTCTTGCCTCTCCCAGTTCTGGCCCCACCCCCACAGCCTGCTGCCCCTCCAGAAGCAAGCTGCCCAGGCAGTAAGCGAGCCCCCGTGAGAAAAACAACGTGAGCCCTGTGCAGTTAGGGCCTGTTTTGTGTTTTCTTCTCTCATACCCTCTTCCATCAGCAGAGAAAATAGAGTTTCGGCTGTTTCTCACCATGTAGATGTTTACTGTGCACATCGGTGCTGAAAAGAATAAAATGGAAAAGGACTTAGAGGTCCGCCAGTTTCTGAAGCCCTTTGGACTAGCCTGGGTTTCAGCGTCTGGACAATGGGAGGTGATACCTGAGAGTCGGGAGCTTGACTGGGCCAGGGCAGAAAGAGAAGCTCACCTCTTGCCAAGAGGCAGTGGGCCATGCTCCTTGCATCGGCATTTGAAGCCAACATTAAGGAGGTTACTAATGGGCTGCGAGTCATCAGCCACCCTCCCCCTAATGCCTATCTAAAAACTAGGGACTGGCTTCCAGCGGAAGTGAGAGGTAATTGAGGACTATTATCCCACCCTAATTTTCTTTGCAAAAAGCCCTGACTCTGGTGAGAAGGGCGTGGTGGATCCCAAATTTAGGATCAATTTAAATAATTAAATTTCACACGCATCAGGGACAACATTTGGAAGTGGAGTTAGTCAGACCCTCCTCCTCATTACTTTACTTCCTTCTCCAACTCCAGTCTCTTGAGCATAACTCTTGGTCTGTGTGACATGGAAACGCCTTATGCAGACTTGGGATGGGGGCTAAGACAGTGAGAGACAGCCCACTGCAGTTGGGGGGGGGGCGCTGATGAGAACTAAAGAGTTAAGCAACTGCATTAAGGGTGGAACTCTGGGGCTGAAGAACTTGGATAATGTAACTCTTTCCTCAGCTGCCCACTCTGAGACAAACCAGGAAAGGCTTTGTTACTTTCCAGGATGTCTGGAGTCAGACTTGAGTTTCTCTTGACCGGCAAGCAGGCCCTCAGGCAGGAAGTAGGGGCTCAGTTGTATCTGAGTCACACCCACGTGCTTCTGTTTATCTGCACCAGCGTCATCCTATACGCAAACGACTGGTATTCTCCTTGTGGGGCTGTACAGGATGTAAAATTTCTAAAACTGTGGGGCTCCTGGGACCCCCCAGACTTCCATGGGTGCGATCAGAAACCTCTTCCAGCTCTGAGGCCAGCAGCTGCTCTGGTGGTCCCCACCCTGAACCAGCAATTAGACATTCTATTTCCCTGTACGTGGTTTTTGGAACCTTAAAGCAGATCTTCACATTGAACCTGGTCAGATTCAGTCCAGTGTTCTATCCAATGAGGTCTAGTTTAGGCTGGGTTTTCTCAGAAGCCAAACATAAAATAAGGATTCAAGTGCAAGTCATATATTTGGGAATCGTCCCAGGAAGCCCAGCAGGAGGCAGAGGCATTGTGGGCCCTGCGGCTGCCCAGCAGTAGCGCAGTCACCCGGGAGGTCGGCAGTGACGCGCGAGCACAGCGACACCCAAGCCCTAAGTGGACCTCCAGAGGGCAAGGCTGCTGCTTCTCTCCCGCCTTCCAAACTCACGCAGTTTTTCTCCTGTTACTAGGACTGACGCGTACAGTACAGGGTGGGAATTCTGCTGAGCTATGTCGACAAGTACAAACCCATTCACGATTCTCCCGATGAATGTATCGACGGTGCGATTCTCAGTCCACAAAGTTTGACATGCCGAACAGCACTTTCTTTGCTTTCCATATCCACGTAGTTTCTGCTGCCGAGACCCATTCTGACACACAGGAAAAATGTTTACCTTCGGTCATTCCCGCGTTTCCCACTGTGGAACCAGGTGAGGATTCCTCCATGTCACCCAGTTCCCAGGTGGAGGTACCCTCTGCCACTGGGTCGTCGGTGACTGTTGAAGGTTAACTCGGAGACATTGTCCCTTCAGACCGGGTGGCACCTTTGGGTCCATGCCCCTCTTGGGACATGGGCCTGTTTGCAAGGCTGGGAGCCCTGGTGCCTTTCCTCTCTGGGGTTTTATCATCTCCCTGAGGCCCTGCCAGGAAGCCACGACTGAAGGGAATCTGTCCCCTTCAACTTTTCAAAAGACATTCCACTGTAAAATCTTGAACCTTTTCCTGCCCTCCTCCTTCACAAACTTCCTCCATTCTCCTAAGGGCTTGGTAATCAAGGAACAAAGGACTGCCATCTGCCCTTTGCCATACCTTTCCTGAGGCAATAAAGCATAAAGCTCTCTGCTTGATGAGAAAAAAGAATAAACAGGGAGGAAATAAACATAAATTGACCTTGGAAAATACCATCCAGTACCTGGAGCTGTGATGGTTCGTCCTCTGTGTCCTCCAGAAGACACTAAGTGGTCATGGCCGTGGGAGCTGGACGTCAGCACCCCCCTTGGCTGTCTCCACCCTCTCTGCTCTGCCGGGTGGCTGGGATGCTTCTCCCCAGTTCTGGGTTGTGCTGAGGCAATGCCCTGGGGAGAGAGTGGCACCCTCCTGAGACCTCTGGATAGCCCCAGGGGCTGAGAGACCTGTGCTGCTGAGGGCATAGTGCATCTTTTTGCCAGTAGCACCATCCCAGTTCCTGTGAGCCCGGCCAGCCTGCCTGCCTTCCTGGCCACCCCAGGAGAACTGCTGATCACTTCGGTTTACATTTGCCAAGCAAAGAAAATACAGCCACCCAGTCAGCCACAACTCAGGCCTTGACAGAGTCAAGATCTACTAAATGAAACACACTTGCAGATTGTAAGTGACAGAAGCATAGAGAAAAAAGATGAGTTAAAGGGTAAAAAACATCCCAATGGATTTCATAAGCACAGCCACCTGGGTACCAGACCCACATGGGCTGACCGCTGGGAAACACTAAAGCAACTGGGTTTAAGACGAGTCTAGGTAGACCTTTGGGTCTCAACTTCCAGGTGTTCAGTGATGCCGACATGCATTGATCTGGACCTTGTGCTGTCCTTCCAGTCAGAGGACATGCATTATATGCACATATGTACGTTGTGTGTGGAGCCTGTGCATATGGGGACCTTAGCTACTGGAGCCATGTATGCTCTGTATGCACCACAGAGCGTACTGAGCAAGGCTGGGTGACTATCGCCTATTGAAATCTCCATCGTGTAAAGAGTTACTTACTAAGAGTTTCTTCTGGCTAAGCCTTAAACATAAAGTTCTTTCTTAAAATCTTTTTTTAAGGTTTTATTTATTTTTTAGAGAGGGGAAGTGATGGAGAAAGAGAGGGGAAAAAAACATCAATCTTGCTTTCCCCCAACTGGGGACATGGCCTGTAACCCAGGCAGGTGCCCTGAGTGGGAATCGAACCAGTAACCCTTTGTTTTGCAGGCCAGCATTCAATCCACTGAGCCACACTAGCCAGGGCTAAACAAAAAATTCTTTTTTTAAAAAAATTTTATTGCTGTTTAAGTAGAGTTGTCTGCATTTTTCCCCCCCGCCTCTCTCCCCCACCCCACCCATCCCCCCTCCCTCCCAATTCCATCCCTCTTGGTTTTGTTCATCTGTCCTTTATAGTTTTTCCTGAATCCTTTCCCTCCTTTTCCTCCATTATGCCTTTCCCCCTCCCCTCTGGTTACTGTCAGATTGTTCTTAATTTCAATGTTTCTGGTTATATTTTGCTTGTTTGTTTTGTTGTTTCAATTCCTGTTAAAGGTGAGATTATATGCTATTTGTCTTTCACCGCCTGGCTTATTTCACTTAGCATAATGATGTCCAGTTCCATCCATGCTGTCACAAAGGATAGGAGCTCCTTCTTTCTTTCTGCTGCATAGAATTACATTGTGTAAATGTACCATAGTTTTTTGATCCATTCATTTACTAACAGGCACTTAGGTTGCTTCCAGCACTTGTCTATTGTAAATTGTGATGTTCATAAAATTCTTAATAATTTACTCAAAACCATATGACTTCTAACACAAAAAAATAGTTACATTTATATTCGTATATGTTCGTCTATCCACTTTTACTATGCATCTGTCATTTAGCTATTTCTTAGGATGATGTTCAGCAGTCTGCTGCTTAGCAATCCTTTTGCAAATAGTTTCTGAAAATAGTGTCTTAATTGAACATTCTCCCTGAGACTCATTTCATACTGTTGCCAAGGACTTGGTTGCACGTTGTATTTTAGACTACTTGCACTTGACGCCCCTTTCAGTTTATTTTCATTCCTGATTTATTTATACTTTCCCCTCCCCCTGCTCTTCCCTAGGTACGTCCCCCACCTCCCACCCACCCCAGCACACCCACTTAGTGATGGTGTGCTGTCATAGATATAATTGTAATGCTGGTTTAATGGATTTTGTGTTCAGTTGACGAAATGGTGAAATCAGCTAAAGGAGATAGGTACATAACACTGTTAGTGATATGAGGAAAAAACGGGCAATGGCTATGGTTGTGAATGGGTAACTGATTAAAAACCCAAGTCTGCTGCTCACCTGACACAGGCCATTCAGTATACACTAGTGGGCATCTCCTGGTTCCAGTTGCTTTTCTCCTTGTGAATAAGTACAGGCACCATTCTGAAAAGAAAGACACCTGGGTGGTAACTTGAATACAATCTTCACCTATTTCACTCTGTATCATCCCTCTACACCTTTTTATGAAACGACCTCTTGCCATAATAAACACGGAGGCTGGTCTTGACTGCATCACCACTGAGCCTGGTCCCGATGAGACTGCATCCTGAGGTGTGGATTGGCAGCTCTTAAGCCACAAACTTTTGCCATTATTTCTTCAGTGGCCAAAAGGCAAGGAGTAGCTGGGACCATGTATTAGGAAGTCCTCTCCAGAGTATCAGAGGGTTCAGGGTGGAGCAGCTAGGGGAGAAATGGGAACTATTTAAAAGAAGTGTTTGAGGCTGTATGATGCTGGGTCTTATCTTCTGGCTTTTCACAGATTGAATGTGGAGATAGAAAAGGAAAAGGAAAAGTGTACACATCAGCATTTCAGGCTGTTCCTAGGGCACGGGCCTTTTCTCTGAAGCAATAATTTGCTGAACCCCTATTTTAAGGTTCTTGTGAAATGACAGGATCAGAAGTGAGGGTGTTATTACTGCAATAATGGATGCTTCATTTTTCCATCGCTGAGAGAGAAAACTTTATGGGGAGTGAAATTTGACACTCAATGTAACTACAGCGCTGCATACTAATTCATGCTGAAACGTAAAACCAATCTAGTTAAGGAAACATGAAATGAAATGGGCTTGTATTATGAGGATGAGAATTTTTTTCCTAATTGTCAACTAAGGTTCTCAGTACCTCTGGTGGTAAATATCAAGGCAGTCACTTCATAGGTGAGAAATCAGCACCAGAAGACTCTCTGTGACAGGTCCGGGGATAAGTGAGAAGTCACAGAGATGATACAGATGCTCAGCTCCTGGTTTCAGCTCTTGTCCTCAACTGCGTATCTAATGCTTCAAACTAACCACAGAGCTCAGAGGTTTGACCGAGATGCTGCAGACAACTTGAACTGGGAAAAAAAAAGCCCTTAGTCTTTCCATTAAATCACAAATGTATGTTGCACTATTTATATATGTTAAGGACTGTGGTAGTCACTGGGGCTCTAAAAATGAGTGAGATACAATCCTAGGTTCAAGAAGTTCAAGTCTAACAAGGAGAGAAACATACAAATAATTGTTAAATGGAGCAACAATACACTTGTACAGAACAGAGGCAAGAAATGTATTTATATGTGGCAATAACAAAATAGATGTCAAAAAACTGTAGTGTCATTTTACTCCATTATTGCAATCACCAGTTACCATGTCACTGAAATGTTCTCATCAAAATCACCAGTGAGTTTCCTGTGGTTAAATAATCTGAAGGAGAGGTAAAATAATTTTCCATCCACTCTTCTGAGCTCTTAGCTTAGACCTCTGTAATAAAAGACAGATTAACAAGAGAAAAATAGAAGTTTATTTTTTTAAATAAGTTTATTAAACTTAGCCACCCAGCCAGGGCCAAACAGAAGTTTATTAACATGTATACATCCTGTATGCATGAGAGATATCCAGAAAAACTGAGTAGCTCTTTAGGGTGGCTTCAGATTCAGAATACAATACCATCTTCATAGGGAGATGAGAGGAGGGATGTAGGCCTCCTAGGAGGGTACGTGATTTATAGGAAAGATGGATAGGCCCTTAAAAAGAATAGATGGGAGGTATGTAGCTTGCAACAAAGTTTGTCAACTATCCTGCGATGAGTCAGTCTTTCCTGGCTGATGAAATTCCTGGGGAAGGAATTTATGACGAGTGAGTTCCTTTTGAAGTATCTGTCTTTAGGCAGCTGAGGGAGTTCAGAGAACTCCTGTATTTACTGTTTTTCAAGTGCCTACAGCACAAAATAATCAATACACGCAGCACATTTTGAAGCTGCACATCCTGAAGTCCTAGAGCCATTTGGGGGTGGCATATTCTGCCACCTTTCAAATCCCCCAAATCACAACTCAGTTCTCATTTTCTTGGCCTGTTTTCACATTTTTTTAAACTCTCATCCCTTTCCACTCTCCCCCCTCAAACTTCTTGCCTCAGTTATACTGAACTTTAGTTACTTGAACATGCCTTGCTTTCTCTTACCTCTGGACTTCAAAATACAATGTTCCCGCAGTCTACATGCCATTCTGCCCCTTGTGGTGCACGGGACAATGTTCCAACCAACTGAGCCACCTGGCCAGGGCAGTACTTTCATTTTTTTTATCACCTAGTGGGTGTAGAGATAGCTTTAATCACAGAGAAAACCTTATATATCACCTGCTTAGTAAAGGATATTTGTTATCTGTTCAGTTGCTAAGGGAACAAGGAACCAAGGTTTAAAAATAGATTTTTTTAAAAAGCATTTAACATGGAGGTGCAAGAAGAAAAGAGCAGGAGGGAAATAATAGGACCAAAGAGCCCCCAGGGGCCCGGTCTGCAGCCGGGGAGGAGCCACCTCATCTATTGTGCAATACCTATGGTTTGGCAGGAATGAGACGAAAGTGCACTCTTCCCTTCTGTGAAAAGATAATTATTTTTAAAAAGTTAAAATTATGACATATAATACAAGGCTCACATGTGTCCAAGATTTTATTTAACTCCTTAATTAATTAGTTAAATAATTACAACTGATTCAAAAAAATAACCCAGAGAAGCAGACACCTATATGGACAATCAACAGTGACGAAATTAATTTGATTAATAGACGCTACACTGGTTTCTTGGGTGAAGGAAGAAAGATCAGTTGCACTTCAAGAACAGTCTGCATTTGTGTTTCCTTGGACAAGAATCATTTGCACTGCTACCAGTTTTTTGTTGTTCAAACTTGCAATTCAGTTGTAAAATAGCTCAAAGACAATGAAAGGCAGTGATAATCTGCTGGACTGGGCACCTGGTAATCATTGTTACCCAGTTTAAAGTCATTCGCCATTTTTCCTGACATGAATAGATCCCTCAACTTGTCTTCCAACATAAAAATTCACTGTGTGAATGCTTAGTGTTTCTCCAAAAAGGCTTCAGAAAAATGAAGGGTTTTTGAAGATTGCATTAACCATACAAAGTCTCTGAGCTCCTCAGATAAGACCATGGAGTGGAATAAAAATCTCAGCTCTTTCCAGCTGCTTGTGTGCTCCGAAAGACAACTCAATCCTTTTCTTCAAAATGCAACTCTTTTGTCCTCCTTAAAGTAAAATATCTGGTATTTAATTTTTTATCATGAAATATTTTATGAACACAAAAAGTTTTTGGAATAATGTAAGAAACATTCAGATACTGACCACTCGGTTTTGTCTCCCCTCCCTGATCTTATTTCTTTCCCTCCAGAAGTAACCATTCTCAGTATGGATGGGAGTTTATCATTCCCTTACATGTTTTTATGCTTTTATAACATAAGTTGCATCCATAAACAACATACAATGCTGTTTTTTTTATATTGATTGATTTTAGAGACAGAGAGAAACATAGATTCATTGTTCCCGTTATTTATGCATCCATTGGCTGATTCTTGTATGTGCCCTGACAGAAGATTGAACCCACAACCTTGGTGTACTGGATGACGCCCTGACCAACTAACTGAACTACCCAGCCAGGGCCATATAGTATTATCTTGCATGTTTTTAAATTTGGTATAAATGGAATTATACCGTTGTTTCCTTCTGTAACTTGCTTTTTCTGTTCAATATTATGTTTTTGAGATTTTGGACCTGGTATTATTTTTGTTAAAAATGATGGCTTAGAAACAAGTGCTTGGCCCTGGTCAGGTGGTTCAGGTGGTTAGAGTGTGGTCCCTCACACTGGATGGTTCTCACACTCATGTTTCTCTCTGTCTCTCTGAAATCAGTAAATATACAAACAAACAAGAAGAAACAAGTGCTTGGTTGGTAACAAGAACGGGAGTCGGTCATAATTTTGACCCATAGTCATTACGATAAAACTCCTGCTTCATACCCATAGGAGCAGCACATTAAAGGACATGATATGGGAAGCTTTGAAGAACCTTTGTTAAACCTTTATTTGCCCAGGCCCCAGGCGCCCTGGGGAGAATGATGGGGCTGTCTGGGATAAGTAAACAACGGTGCATTAGCTAGGACTGAGATTAACACCCCAGCTGTTAAAAACTGACCTTCAAATTTAGCCTTTGTACTTTACTTTCGCCTTGTAGCTAGGACTGACTTCCGCATTCCTGCTTCTGTATCTTGCTTTACTACTCCGAAGTCTATATAAACCCCAAGAATCCTTTGTTCGGGGCTCAGAATTTGGAGACTGACTTCTATGGGCTTGTGCATGTTAATAAAACCTCGTACTCCAGAAACCCTCGGTGTCTGGTTGCTTCATTTTCCTGCAACAGACAGAGTGGGTCAACCAACAGCAATAGTTTAAAGAATTTGGAAAAAATGTCCTAGGACAGGTAGCTTCTTTCACCATTATTTAAATAAGTGGTAACTTACTTTACCACGATTTAAAAATTAACAAGTTGTTTTATCTTAAGTAAATCATGTAGCTTTTCTCTTTTCCTTCCTCTGTACCAGCAATTGTTCAACCGGGGTGCTACAAGAAATTTAAAAATGCGCAATACCTGACTTTTAGTCAGGGGCACTGACCTCTTTTCCTTTAGATTGTCAAATGAAAAAAATGACAACAGCCAACACAATAGCTGTCTAGTGTAAATGAATCAAAATTATACCCATTTTTTGTCAGATCAGCAAACAATAAACTTTTTGGTATGTCAAAGAATTTTGGTAATTAGTTTATGTGTGCCCTGAGATGAAAAAGGCTGCAAATTGCTGCTCTGTAAATGAAGGAGTTGCGTTAGATCGGGGTTCTCCAGATTTTTATTTTATTTTATTTTATTTTTAGCCCATGCCTCTTTTAATGCACACAAAAACTCTCAAGTCCTTTTTTAAGATCATTTGGAATTTAAAAATAAACTAAACAGACTTCCAATTATGGACAAGTGAGGAGATTGGCAAATATACTCCCCTAAAAACTGACCATAAAGCTGGATAAAATTAACATAAACAACCATTTTGTGCTCTGGAAATGGACCAAAGGTATACAACAACTTGAGAAGCACTTATGCTTGAAGAACTGCTGAACTGGGTAAGAACATTGGGAACCTGAGGCGCTCTGGCTTGGAGCTATTCCTATTCTACTCTCGAAGCTGCTTGCTGTGCCGACCTCCCCGATCCCTGCAACCTCTCCAGCTCCAGATATGGGTTTTCTAGTAGGATGGGGCTGGCAATGCAGACTGGAAGCCTTTCTGCTCTGATTGAAGGGGGATACTTTACAGCTGGGCTTTACTAGCCTGTGGCTGCTGCTGTGGTTGGGGCAGGCATCTTTGTGGTTGAGGTGGCATATATGTATAGTAGAGACCAAAAAAGCCCAAGCTATTCACACGTTTGGCTGACCCTGGGTTTGCACATATGTGCATAGGAGACTGAAAAAGGCCCTGTAGAGCCCTGGCTAGTATGGCTCAGTTGGTTCGGTGTCAACCCCTAGACCAAAGAGTTGCTGATTGGATTCCTAGAGAGGGCACATGCCTGGGTTGTGGGTTCATCCCTGGTCAGAGTGCATGTGAGAAGCAATCAATCAATGTTTCTCTCTCACACATGGATGTTTCTCTCCCTCTCTTCCTCCTTCCCTTCCTTTCTCTCTAAAATTAATAAGCATGTCAGGTGAGGATTTAAAAAGAAAATAAAACTGGAGGCATACTTGAACACAACCTGAGTACTGTATGTGTTCCCTTAAACATACACTTATCTGTCAACAGAGGAGGAAAGACTTACTGGTTTAAGCTGTTTGACAATACTTGACATTTATCATAAAAGCAAGGTGGATCTTTGTTGTCACAAAAGCCCCTGTACTCTTGGTTGAATCCAGGGTAAGAGGACAGTCAAACAGATTTCTTCTTTAAGAAAGGTGTTAGGGTATACACAGAGAGCATGGAACTTGAATATACAGTTGATCCTTGAACAATGAGGGTTCAAACTGCGCTGGCCCATTTATATGGGTATTATTTTCAATTGACCCATGCAATTCAAACCCGTGTTTTTCAATTGCAGGCAAAAACCCTTCATTCTATCTGGTTTTGGTATAGATTAATGAATTTCTATTTCATAATGTTTATAAATCATTATCATAATTATTTTGGTGCTCAAGTTGTCCCAGAGTTAGCCAGTGGGATCCCCTTCAAGCTGGCTTCTGTGTTCCTATGACGTTCATCATCATTTTTTGGTAAAACTTCCTTAATTTCTAGCAAAAAAGATGTTACAGGATCATCTGGAATAGGGTAATTTCTCCAGAGAGCCCTAATTCTCTTTTCGTGAGCATATTAGCTATCTGTTAATGCATAACCAACTATCCCAAAATTTAGCAGCTTAAAACAACAAATAATTACCAGACACAGTTTCTTCTGAAGTTCAGGAATTCGGGAGAGATTTAGCTAGATAGTTCTGGATCAGTTTCTCTCCTCTCCTAAGGTCACAATTAAGACTCTCACTTCTTGACTTATTGGAATGAAAACTCAATCTGGGAAGAAAAAGCCCACTTGATTCAAGGAGTTCTCAGGCCCTCTAGCATCAAGAGTGCCAAATTTAATATTGCAGCTTCTGTTTTACTCTGAAAGATTGGTTCTTTTAAGATCCATTTCTAGACTACCTTGATTTTATGCTATTATTTTTAGTCTGAGCATTTTCTCTTTCATTACTTGGCTCAAGTTACTACAACAAAGGTTACTGAAAGTCTACTTGTACAAGACTAATAAAAGAGATAAGCTCTGGCCTATAGGAATTTGTGAAGTAATATAATCCTACTTCTTTCCTGAAACTTTCTCAAAGAAGTAAAAATTTCAGCACTGGCCAGGTAGCTCTGTTAGACAAACCTGTCCTGCTAAGCCACGGTTTGGATTTGATTCCTGGTCCAGGTACACAGAGCAGTCAACCAATGAATTAATGGATGAGTGGAACAACAAATCAATGTTTTTCTCTCTCTAAAAATCAATAAATTAAAAAAATTTTTTTCAGAGGTGAAGCTATTAGTAGTTCCAAATTGTTTAATGATTTTTACATCATCTTTCAGCTATTGAATATCAATATTTTTGCTGTGCTATTAGCTCTAACATGAATACAATGTAAAAAGCATTTTTTTCACCAACTCTGGGGTTCCAAAGCTGTCCTAGAAATAAATAAGCCTTGTTCAACTCAGTTCAGCACAAAAGGAAGCAATCAATAATTAATGAAATTTAGAAATCCACACACACTGGGTAATTCCTCTTTGAGGAATTTGGGTGTGTGAAAGAAAAGACAGCCCTGCTTTAAAGACACAGTGCCCTGCCTAGGCCAGCAGTCTCGTTGAGCCGGTTTTAATCACGGCACTGCCCCCAACAGCCAAAAGATGGATGGTCCAATAACATCAGTTCTCCGAGTCTGTTTCCCTAACCATAAAATAAAGGGTAGGCTTGACGGGCCCTCTTTCACTGCAATTTTCCAATCCAAGGCTCAGGGAGAGGTCCATAAAACGAATAAAATTAGTTCAAGCACTACTAGAAGTGAACTTACTGGTCAAGGATAAATGATTTGCTCTTTGGGTACAAGCAGTATGGACGGCCATAGTACAACAGTCCAGGTTACTTTATTAATACACTCCGCCCAGACATGTGACAGTCAAAGTGCAGCACCATCCCCGGCTCTCGCGGAAACAGGAGGATCTAGGAATCGCCCCTAACTTTCAACTCCCTGCCCCGTGAGACAGAAGCAACCTCTAGTCTTACGCCTGCGTGCTGAGGTCCGACGGCCGAAGGCGTACGGTGAGCCCCTTGCAGCCCCGCAAACCACGCGATATTTCCTCCGGGACTCGGCGGCGGTGAGTGACGAGCGGAGGTGCTTGGCCGCGGTCAGTCGCGGACCCTGGGGCTGGGGAACTTCTAGCTGGGTGCAGCGGTCCAGGTGAGGGAGATCTAGGAGCCAGGGTGACCTCTAGGCTTCCTCCTGGAGTTTCTGGCGTTATGCTTAGGATATTAGGGAATGCTGGAGAAGCAGAAGCTGGTGATTTTTGTTTGTTTCTTTGTTTTTGTTTTAGAATTGTTGAGAGTAAGCAACCTCAGGATTGGACATATTTGTTTAAGGGGCCTCTGAGACGTTCGTTTAACACATTTTCTGAGCACTTAACGTGTGCCAGGCATAGGGGGAGGTTATAAATCTGAACGACGGATACGAATCCCTGTCCTCTTGGCGTTTACAATCTGGGAAGGCAGACTTGGTAATTTCCGTATGAGTGGTTGGTAATGGGAGCCATAGGTTTCCACGATTTATAAATAGTCAGTTGTGGCAGAATAATTGAACGAGATCAGGATAGAGAAAAGTTTTATTAAAAGGTGTTAGGAAGCTCATGGTATGTAAATCGTACGCGTTGTGTTCGAGTGTGGATTCCAGGGTCATTAGCGGTTGTGCAACCATGGGCAAGTTATGCTACCCCTCTGCCTCCCTTTCTTGGTCTATAAAATGTGGACGCTGACAGTACCGACCTCATAGGGTTAGTGGGTGGAGGGGTTAAACGCAATGATGATATAAAGTCCCTACCCCAATTCTTGACACTTAGGAAGAGCCAGGCAAGAGGCTGAGAGACCAGAATCCCACCTAATTAAAACGAGCACTGGCACTCTGCTCTTCCTAGTGCTGCGTCCTTTCTCTTACACTAGGCTGCAGGGTAGGCACTCAAATAACAAACTATTTGTGACCTCACCAGAGTGATTTTTTTTCAGCTGATCATTGATCTGGTATTATTTTTTAATTACTTAGCACTAATTAGAAACCAGTTAATATCATACCAGGCAAAGACGGTTTGCTTAATGTCAGTTAATAAAGACTCTCCTCTATCCCCAACACACACACACACGCTTGGGATGAACTTGACACCACCACCACCACCACCCTTCCCTTCCTATCTAGAACTTGGTGTGCCATATCTTTCACTTTAATTTTGTAACTAAATCAAGTTTTTTATATCTTAAATTTTGTGTTTGTTGTGCTACTGAGGGATATTGTGTGGTTATCTGACGTTAGTTAATTGTAGTATTTGACACTTGAAAACTTTCTAATTTAATACAGATGGAGGAAACGTGAAGGTTGTACTTTTCATGCTGATAAGCAGTATTTGGATAAATCCACAGTGTATATTTTAAAGAAATGAAGCAGACATTTGAAAGTAATTAGATAAATATGAAATTTCATTTGAGAAGACTCCTTCAATTGAAAATTTAGCCGTCAGGGGTTTTGATAACCACTTAAAGGCAGTTAGTTATCTTTGGACCCAGCATCAATTTGGAAATTTCTGTTTTTCAGTACTTCCATAATGTACACACAATGTGATTCGACAGAAAACTTCCTTTAAAAAATATATTTAGCTTTATAAGATATTTTGGACTTCTTGATGTGATGAAATAAGCCGCACACAGCACCATTTTACCAGATTCTTATGTAAAAATGTAACCCACATCTAATCACAGCTCTAGATCTAACCACCAGTCAAAGGTACTGGCAGAGATAGAAGAATGAAGTAAATGGCACCATGAGGAAGCAATCCAAGGACATTTTATAGACAAAGGGATGAAGACAATGTTTCTTCAACAGTCAATGTCATGAAATAAAAAAGGAATGGGAGACTCAGTGTAGTATGTGGACCTTAAATTTTGGTTCTAGTGAACACACTGTAAAACATCCCTGAGACAATCAGGGAATTTGAATGCACACTAAGTGTTAGGTAATGTTACGGAATAACCTGTGCTATCAATTCTGTCAGGTTAATGGCATAGCATTTATGTTTCAAACAGTATGTTATCAGAGATGCATAATTGAGGAATTTTTAGGTGAAATAGGTTGATGTCTGGGATTTTTAAAAAGATTTTATTTACTTACTTTCAGAGAGAGAGGAAGGGAGGGAGAAAGGGAGAAAACATCAATGCATGAGAGATACATTGATCTGTTGCCTCCTGCACACCCCAACCTGGGGACCCTGCCTGTAAACCAGGCATGTGCCCTAACTGGGAATTGAACCGGCAACCCTGCAGTTTGCAGACTGACACTCAGCCCAGTGAGCCATGCTAACTATGGCTGGGGTTTATTTTAAGAGGAAATTGGGAAATGCAGTCTTTTAGCTGGGCAACATTGTATTCATAAAGAGAGAATGGACATTGAGGGAAACCAGCCATTAATGACACCACCAGTGAGATTACAGTGAGATAGATACATATAGATACATACATTCCAAAAAGTAAGGAAGCAAGTAGGATGCTTATACATATTCTTCATTCTGCTTTACAGAATGTCACTAACATCAGATACTTAGGTCCTAATTAGGAGCAGAGTTCTCCTCTAGCAGAGGTTACCTACTGGAGAGTTGCGCATCATTGTATGGCTTTAGATGTAAAAACCCTGTTTGGGGATAATAATAATACTTAGTAAGATTGTTAGATAAAATGAGTATATTAAATCTTATTAAATATTAAATTAATATATATATTTTATAGCACTCACAACAGTGTAACACTGTCACACTCACTAAGGCTTGTTCTTATTTTTACTGATGGGTACAGCAGGCAGGACTGTTTCCCCAAAGTCAGATAGTTCCAGCACCGGAACTTCATTTTGCTTTCATTAGCTCAAATTGTAAACCCAGAATAAACTGGTCCTTTATTTATTTAGCTATTCTATATTGCAGAAATTCTTATAAGGTGAGAATTAATAAATGCTTTTGATATATTACTTTTATAATCAGTAAAACTATTAAGACATTTCCATTTTAATAAATGAGTAAGAGAATTTTGGAAAATTTGGTTATATCAAGCAGCTAGGGTTTATATTTTGCTACCAGGCTAACTGCCTGGCTCTGGAGGAATATATGATGCTGTTCTCTTTCAATCAAGCCACAGTAGGAGGCTTAATGCTGATGGTACAAAGGTGAATGTGCTTGAATTGTGTGAGGCCAGGACATTCTGCCCCTCTCAGTCTTCAACAGGCTTGTTCCTATGAATCAAAAATTCTAATTAGACTTGGGCCATACATTTGCTTTAGGAGGTTAACTCTTTGATAGGAGACTATATCTTTTTTGGGTCTAAATATGATTTTTCTTTGTTCAGAAACATAAAGGCACTTCTTAAATTTTAAATTGTTTACTATTTCCAGACTTTCTTGTGACTGAAATTTTTTTCTATCAATAGGAATTACTTTATACAGAAATCTTGTGAGGTCTCTGTGCAAACAAGGTGATGATTGTACAAAGAGTGGTACTGAATTCCCGACCTGGTATGTATCTATCTGTGATGAATGAACAGCTGTGGGCTTTGATAATTATTAATGCACATGGAGGAACAAAAGTATCCAGATCCTGTCATGTGGTAAATTGAGGTAGGAAGATATTAACTCTAGCAGAGATATTAGAAAAAATTCTTTAAATGATACAGTATTCAGTTTTCAAATGATGACTTACCAAGCCCATTGGTTGAAAAAATAAGGTTTTTTAGAATTGTTACACTATTTAAAAGGTTATATTACAAATATGTGGCTTTCATTTTTTTGTAGTAGATAACATCAGTTCTTAAACTTTGCTTATTTTATTTTATGTGAAGAGCACTGACCTATGTCTGTGCTGACCTCTAACCTGAGTGAGTCATAGAAACAGCTGTAGAAGTAACCGGAGAGGCTTGGGCTCCTGCTGCCTTGGGATTATTATCTGTCTGGCACGTGGCCTGGGAAGTCACTTAACCTCTTCTGACCTCAGTTTTAGTAAAGTGAGCAGTTAGATTAAAACCTTTGCATTTTATTCCCACTTTAGAAGTGGGCCGATTCAATGAATAGAAAGTATACTCAGTTACAACCTGAGTAACTGAGTAAGTGTACACTTTTAGTGATGACATTTTCTTATTGATTTTTCTTTTTTAAAAAAACTGTTAACCTTTTTTTCTTCTTAAAAAATCAATTAATTTTTTTTTTTTAGAGAGAGAAAGAAACATCGATTTGTTGTTCTACTAATTTATGCATTTGTTGGTTGATTCTTATATTTGTCCTGACCAGGGATCAAACCCACAACCTTGGCATATCCAGAGGACCCTCTAACCAACTGAGCTACCTGGTCAGGGCTCAGGTTTTTCTTTTCACATTTCAAATTTCTAATTTTTAAGATTTTACTTTTTAGAAAATATGCATTTATTTAAGTTTCTGTTTTCTTCTTATAGTGAAGAAGGAAAGTTTACCTATTTTCTTGGGCTGATGTGTTTCGGCATCCTTATAAATTTTAATTTTTGTGATATTTTCAAAAGCTGGCTGTGATATTTCAGTTTTTTGAAATCCTCCTAAATTTTAAAATGGATGAGATGGTTTACCTGTAGTCATCTTCGAAAAGAAATTTTAAAGTTGACAAGAATATTTCAAAGGATCTCCTTGGAGAAAATGGACAGTCAGAACTATTTAAAGAACTTGTGTTGAGTTACAAAGAAATTATATGGATTTATTCATGCCTAAGTTAGATGAGAGTGCTTTGAACCCTAGATTGGCCTTTTAAAGAATAATAAATAATTGTATAGGAAAGTGAGTTTATTTGACATTTTTACCTAATATTTTAGGGAATAATGGCAATCCAGTGG